GCGTGCGTGGTGGCCGCTGCCGAGCAGGCGGCGGGGCGTCGCGCAGCGTGGCTCGAGGCGGGCCCTGGCGGCCCCGGGGCGAAGGGGACTTGGCAGCGACGGGCGGCGCAGCTGTGCTGCGGCCGGCTCCGGGCGCCGCGGTGGCGCGCGCCCGCGGGAGGCTCGACTGGCGCGTCCGGGCCAGCGACCGCTCCGGCCCAGCGACCGCCCCGCGGAAGTGGTGGCCGTCGGGCAGTTGCCCAGCGCCCGCGGCACGCCTCGCATCGCCGCGGCCGTCCTCCGCACAGCCGTGGGCGGCGGGTGCGCGGCGCGGCGCTTGCGGGGGCGCGCGCCGTGCACGACGGGGATAGGATCGAAGAGCATGCCCAGCGCGAGGTTTACCACGCTCTCCGTCGGCGACACGCGGGGTTGGAGGCCCCGGCGGGCAGGAACAAAATGGAAGCGTCTTCTGAACATGTTGCCCTCGCGTTTTGTGTGGCGGGGGGCGGGGCGCGCGACGACCAGCGCATCATGTCCTCCTCGGGGCCCCCATGGTGTCCGCGGCGTGCAGGACACGGGCCGCGGCGCGGACGGATTTTCTTCGGCGGCGCATCGTTGCCGACACGCTTCTATCGCGTTTGCGGGAGGGCGCGCGGGGGCTCCCGCGGCTGGAAGCCCTCTGCGGCCAGTCAGGTGCCGCGCTCTGCTTGCGGCTTCGTCGCTTCCGCCCCGACCCCTCTCCGCTTCTGCGGCCCGTAATTCGTGACATTTTCGTTGCGTGCCCCCGCTTCTGTACTAGTCTCTCGTAGGCCGCCGCGCCTGCGTGCCTCGGCGAGTGCGGCGGCCCGAAGTCGGCCAGGCCCGCCCCGTCGAAGGCCTGGCGCCGCGCTCCGCGACCCCTCTCCTGCGTTCCTCGGCCTCCTCCCCCCCCCCCCCCTGCGCGAGTCTGCGGCCAGTGTTCCGGCCACGGTCGCAGGGCACTCGCTTCGTGGCCGGGGGTGCGTTTGGGCCTGCGATGTGTGGCCTCGAGCTCTGGGGCGGGCATGGCGGCTCCAGTGTCCGCCCTCTGAGTGGCAGGCCGGCCAAGCGATGCGCGGCGCGTGGTGGAGCCACGGGGCCTGACGCTTTGGGCCCTCCTCTCCTCTCCCTCCTCCTTCTTCCCCCTCCCGTTCCCCCTCCCCATCCCCGCTTGAATCTTGGGCGCCGCGGGGTTGGGGAAAGGTAGCGAATTTCCCACCTGGCTTGTGCGCGCTAAAAGCTCCGAGGCAGAGATATCTGCCCGAATGTCCCTACTACTTGTGAGCCCAGCCTGCTGAGCGGCGTGCGGTGCGCAGTGGGGCCACGGAACTCGGCGATGCGCGCACTCCTCCCTTTTCCCTCCTTCCCAGGCCACCCTCCCCTCCCTCCGTCTTCAGTTTCAACTCCGACCATTTCGCCCAGGCCCGCTGGATGGCGCGTGGTGGGTGTTAGAGCCAAGGTGCTCGACGATGTGAATGTGCCTCGTTTCTTTCTTGATCCCCTCTCGGTTGCCGTTTGTATCGATGCACATTCGTTCTGGCTGTCGCCATGCCCGCCAGGAGGGCGGTGCTAACTTCACGTGGCCTTTGAGTTTACGTGGCCACTCACAGAGCCGAAGCTCAGGTATCTATTTACGCATGTTTGCCAGCTCCGCCAAGACCAGGTTGCGTGCAACGGCTCGGATCGCCTATGACAGGTGGTTGGCCTGGGCATTCTTCTACATTTAGGGGTATTCCTCTGTGTCTCCCCCCGTCCTTTGTCGTCGCCGTTTCTTCCTTTTCCTCTGCTTGTCCCTCCTCCCGCTGTGGCGGCCCTGAGGATCGAGCTCGAAGATCATTGCCAGACATTGGAGGTGCCGCTCGCGTTTTATTATCAGTGTTGTTGTCGGTGCCTTCTTGGGTGGCCCCGGTGCCAATTTTTGTCGGGTTGCAAGTTCGTCGGTTCTCTCCGCTTCGTCCCACCAGCTTTCCTCCTCTTTTCCCCTAGTTTGGCTTCAAAATCGCCCCACAACCATCCGAAAGGGCTTCTGGGCAGTCCAAGAGAGCCCCAAAACGGCACAACACGGGTCCAAGATGGCCCTCAGAGAGCCCCATGGCGGCCCAAGATGGCCCCAAGACGCCGTCCGAAGCATTCCAAATCGTGACCTGGTCGTTCAGGGAGACCGAGGTTGGAGGCAGTGTGGCCCGAGGAAGCCCCCAGAGGCCCCCAGAATACGCCCAGGAGGCCTCCACAAGGCCTTACGAAAGCCTGAAACAACTTTTGTGAGGCCCCCAGAGGCTCTCCAAGGAGGAGCCTCCGCAAAAAAGAGCTGCGGAGGATGGGGAGAATGCGCAGGGTATGGCGAAAATGAAGGAAAAAACATGGAGGAAGGATAACGAATAACATTATTATAGCGGCGATGCCGGAAAAGGCAACAAGGAGGTATCGCTAAATTGTCGGCTTGACCGTCCTGCTATTCCGCCTGCACACCAAACTTCAAGGACCAAGGTGCATGGCCCGACGCGCCAATGCAGTCTTGTATGTATGTGTATATATACACATATATGTATATATGTATATGTATAAATGTGTATATATGTGTATATATATGTAGAGATATTCGAGTGGCTTACGCCGACCCCCGAGAAGGAGCGAGAGCTTGCGACGATCTTGGAAGTTATCTTGTGGGTGAGGAGCTTCTTGGATGCATTTGAGGGGCTCGTGGGATGCCTCGCAGGTGCCGCTTGGAGGGCGCTTGGGGGCATCTGGGCCTGGGTGGCCTTCTGGGCCATTTTGGGGGCCTCCTGGGGGCTTCTTGGGGACCCCTTGGGAGCCTCTTGGGGTCTCTTGTGGTCGCCTCGGGGGCGTCGGGGGGGCTCTTGGGGCCATCATGGTGAGAAAGGCTCGAAATGTCAGTTCGTATCACCCTTCTTGGGTCCCTCTCAGGGCTCTCTCGGGGCTCTCTTGGACCGTCTGGGGGGGGCCCTGCGGCCGTCTTGTGGCCTTTTACGTCGTCATGGGGCTTTCTTGGGGGTCTCATCGGCCTACTTGGGACGATCCTGAGAATTGGCCCGTTTGACGGTGTCAGGACGAAGAGGGCGAGTATGCTAAACATGTGCATTTTCCAATGGGAATGGGATGATTTTCGCTTCTGGGAGCCCTCTCGGCGGTCCTATTGGTCTTGGGCGCCTCGTGGGCCGTCGCGAAGCCATTTTGGGTCGTCGTGGGGCTACCGTTGGCGATCTTGACGCTTTCCTGCACGGTTTTGGCGCTGTTTGTGCGCTCTGTGGGGGCTCTCATGAGTCGTCTTGGGGCTTTTCGGATGTTCTGGAGGCCCCAGAGGTGCGCTTAGGAGCTCGTCTACCCCCCTCCCCCTCCCCCGCCCTGAAACAGCATTTTGGACCCTGGGGGAGGAGGAAAGGGGGAGGGGGACAGCCAAGGGCACAAGCCTTTTCATCCCTAGCAAGCGGGGGTCGTCGGATTTACAATGTTGTTGGAGTGTTGGGCCCCTCCGGCCGCCCACAGCACAGAATGACAAATGGCGGCACCCTCTTTTAGCCCTGGAGGTCTAGGGCTCTTTTTCGGAGCTCTGTTTTTTCCTCCAGCCTCCAGAGCAGAGTAATCGACGTCACAATTTCGATAACCAAACGGCGCCAGGAGACCGCCCAAGAGGCCCCAAAAACGGCCCAAGAGGGCCTCAAAACGCCGCCAACATGGTCCTTGGAGAGGCTCATGATAGTCCATGGCTGCCCAAGATGGGCTCACCACGGCCCCAATATGACTCCCAGATAGGCCAAAGACGGCCTCGAGGGGCCCAAGATGGCCCAACAGGGTGCCAAGACACCCCCTGAGACGTTCAAGAGGCTCCACGACGGGCCTAAGACGGCTGGAGGTGGCCAAGGCACTTTCACAAATGCCGTAAAGAGCGCCACGACACGCCACGACGTCACAAGAGGACCAGAAGCCTCCGGGAAGCCTTTCGGCAACCTCCCATGAGCCTTTCTGGGGCATCCTGGGAGCTCCCAGAATAATTTCATAATTTTTCAGAGGGTTACCTGGTGCCTATCAGCAGCTTTCTGTTCAGCCCGAAACTCTCAGTAGATATCGTGAGCTTTCCGCAGCCCCTGGACAACTTTCCAGAAACTCCCAGGAGCTCTTCGGAAGTCTTTCAGAGAATCTTTCAGACATTCCCATGCAATTTACATACGCTTTCAGAAGTCTGCAAGACGCTCAGGAATCTCGGGTGCCCGGGGACTACCCAGTTTCCCTGGAAACGCGCACCAGTCTACCAGAGATCGTATTTTTCCAATGCCAGAGGAGACCGTTTTCGTTCCATTCGGTTGTGGCGAGGAGAGGTCGGCCCCGGAAAAGCATCGGGCCAGACAGCTAACACTCACCCTTACTTGCTCATGAGTGCTGCTGGCACGGTGCAAGTCGTACCCACAGCTCCTTTGCGGGCGTTTCGACGTTCACCCCCTCATGCGGATGTCTTGTCCTGTCCTGTCCTGTCCTCCTCCTCCTCCTCCTCCTCCTCCTCCTCCTCCTCCTCATGCTCATTCTCACCATCCTCTTTCTTACCTTCGACATTCCGTCGGGGACCCGACGTTGCGTCACTCTTGCTTGTCCTCTTCCCCCACCGGGCCCGGGCCACTCAGGGGGCACCATCGCGTGGGCGCAGATGGGGGACCCGAACGCCTCCATCCCCACGCCGCAGCCGGCGGGATCGGGGCGGGACGTGGGTGGGCACCGTAAAGAAGAGGGGGGCTCCCTGGGGGGCAGGGGTCACAGACGTTTTGCTCCTGTCTCGGTGGTTTCGGCTCCCGCCCAGCCTGGGGGCCGCCAGCGCGGGGTCCTGCAAAGGGCCACAGGGTATCCAGGATCCGTCTCCCCCGTGACCCCTTTGGCTCAAGGCCCCCGGGGGGTGGGGGTGGGAAGGGGAGATGAGCGGAAGCAGAAAGGGGAAGAGGGGGGAAGAAGGTGATGGGGTAGGTTCGTGTCGTGTCGATCCTTCCGCCGCGGGCGTTGAATGCCGCCAGGCGCCCAAAATCGGCCAACATGGGATCAACTTGGCGATTGAAAAGCCGCCGATTGTACAAGGTTGAGCAATCCACGCGGTGCCATATACCAATGTCAGATACCAACGCGCAGGTCGTCACGACACGAACCCGCCGCAGGGAAATGCGGGGGAGGAGGAGGAGGAGGAGGAAATGGAAGAGGAGGAGGAGGAGGAGGAGGAGGAGGAGGAGGAGGAGCAGGAGCAGGGAGGGGGAGGGGGGCCATGGGGGAGAAGGGAGGCGGACGGGATGGGGGGGTCGCAGGCAGGAGGCTTGGCGCGGGAGGGGAGGAGAAGGAGGAGGAGAAGGAGGAGGAGGATGAGAGGAGGAGGAGGGAGGAGGAGGAGGAGGAGGAGGAGGAGGAGAAGGAGGCTCCTCCCCCCCCTTTCTTTCCGTTCCTTCCTCCAGCTCCTCCCTCTCCTGCTCGGCTTGGCCCTCCTTCCGCTCTGCTTCTCTTCTCCTCCTCCCCTCCACTCGCCTCGGCCCGCCCCCCCCCCCCCCTTCATCTCCCCTCCCATCCATCTTCCCCTCCCCTTCCTCCCCACGCTCCCTCCTCCAATCCGTGCCCCTCTCGACTTTTGCTCCGCTATCCTCCCCCCCTCCTCTCCCTTCCCCGCCACGCCCTTCCCCGGGAGAAGATTCGGGACACCCCTGGCTTTCGATGGAACACCCTTCCGTTCTTCGTGTTCGGGTTCTCTTCATTTTGAATATGCTTTTCCTCTTAACATCCCCACGGGGCTTCGGCCCTCGGCACAGGGGCCCGGCGTGTTCTTGATCCGCGCTCTTGTGGCCGTGTGGCGTGGCGGCTGTGCGCAGTTAGAAACAAACGCGATCACAGCATCCCGTGCTCTGGGCTGCCAGGCGCCACTCCTCCTCCTCCTCCTCTTCCTCCTCCTCCTCCTCCGCCTCCTCCTCCTCCTCCTCGTCCCCTTCTCCTCTTTTCCTCCTCCTCCTTCTCCTTCTCCCCTTCCTCCTCCTCCTCCTCTCCTCCTCCTCTTCCTCCTCCTCCCCCTTCTCCTGCTCCTCATCCTCCTCCTCCTCTTCCTCCTCCAGTCCCTCCTCCTCCTTCTCCTTATCCTCCTGCTCCTCCTGCTCCTTTTCCTCATCCCCCTCCTCCTCCTCCTCCTCCTCCTCCTCCTCCTCCTCCTCCTCTTTCTTCTCCTCCTCCTCCTCCTCCTCCTCCTCCTCCTCCTCCTCCTCCTCCTCCTCCTTCTCCTCCTCCTCCCCTCCTGCCTCCTCCTCCTCTTCCTCCTCCTCCTGTCTCCTCCTCCTCCTTCTCCTACTCTCCTCCCTCCTCCTCCTCCTCCTCCTTCTCCTTCTCCCTCCTCCTCCTCCTCCTCCTCCTCGTCCCCCTCTTGCTCCCCCTCCTCCCTCCTCTCCTCCTTCTCCTCCTCCTCCTCCTCCTCCTCCTCCTTCTCCTCCTCCAAGGTCACCACGAGCCAGCGCAATAATAGTAGTAATGTCCGCAACAATATTAATGCTATTCGAATAATAGTAGTAATGCTGATTACAAGAGTAACAACACAACAACAAACATACTTCCAATACTGTTACTTCTAATACTAATACTAGCATGAATGACAGTAATAATGATGAGGGCTCGAAGTACCGATCCGCGAGCCGGTACGCGGAAAAGGTGAAATCCGCCAAGGCGAGGTTGGTCCAAGGGCTGTTGGACGAGGGGTCCTTCAGCCATGAGCAGGCGGCGTACATCATGTCAGCGCTGGGCCTCGGGGAGATGGCGACGCCGACCAGTCAGTAGTGAGCGAGTGAGGTGTAGCTTGGCCTCCCGCCAGCGCGGGTCGTGGTTCGACCATCGCGCGGGCAGGTGCTCTCTTTGGTGCTGGCCGCGGTTCGGTTAGCATCCTTCGTTTTAACTTGCAGCGGGATGCTGCCTCTGCCTGGCCTGGGCCGTGGTGCGGCTAGCGCGCAGTCAGCGGGAAGCTGCCACAGTGGAGTTTCCCGCGCGGGCCGAGGATCGGCCTACGCGTGGGCCTCCGCTGACTGTGTCGCCGCAGCGTGGCATCGTTTGCTTTCTGCGAGGGAGCTTGCTCCATGTTCTAATCCACCTAATCCACCTTCCCCCTCCCCATCCCCCAGACCGGCCAGGGCGCTCGAGGCGAGCGCTTTCTCGGCTGCCGGGGATTCCGATTCCATGGCAGGGTCCTGGGCCTCAGGATGGAACTCCTGGAAGGTCCAACTCGGCATCGCCGCTGCTACACTTGCGGTCGAAAGTCGGCTGACTCTAGAATAATCCCGCCTAGTCCAGCTCAGTCCCGAGCAATTCTGCCTAAGTCCGGGCTCGATCCAGCCGAGTGGTCCGGCTCAGTGGCCCCTCTGTTGGGCTTGGCAGCCCGCGCTTGCCCGGTCTTGCGACAACCTCCCAGGGGTCGCCTCCTGAGGGACCCCGTGGGACGCCCTGGAGGTGGCCCCGTGCGATCTCCCCGAGGCCTGGGCGCTATTCGCCAACGTGGCGAATGGCTTAGAGGGACTCGATGTATACACCACGTCGTGAGGTCGGCCACTGAGGCGTCGAAAGCTTGTCGAAGAAATTCGGTGCACAGACGCTCCAGCGCCCCACAGGCTGGGAAGCTGAGGCGTCTATGCGCCGAGCTGCTTCCTGGCCGACTGGACGGCGTGGTGTATACATCGAACCCGTCTCAGTGGCACGCAGCCGGCGACCACCGCCAGCATTGAGTCGAGCATGTCCCTCTAAAGGAGGAATGCTCAAAAAATGATAAAAAAAATTGTATGGGGACGATTTTTTGACTATTTCTATTTTTTGTTTGGGGGGGGGCATTTTGTTTTAGTCTTGTTTCATAGTTCGCCCAAAATCCTCCAGAAGGAGGACATGCCCGACCTAACGCCAGCAGCGGGCCGCTGCCGTGGGTTTGCCCCAACGCGCCGCGGGCAGGGGCGCGCGCGGCGTCATCCGTGCGGGCGCATCTGCCGCAGAGCCGCCCCGGAGGCCAGATTTTCCCTGCAGCGGAAGCGGGGCTGCGGGCCCCAGGCGCCTGCCCGTCCGCGCATTGCCGTGGCGGGCGAGGAGCGGTGAGGTTTTCCGCCCTCGGGGGCGCTCGTCCCAGGGCAGCTGGGAATTTTCGACCCCTCCCATCCACCGTAGGCCTCCCCATCCACCGCAGGGGTACAAATTTCCCAGCCGCCCTGGGGCAGGCGGCCGTCCCCGACGGTGGAAAGTTTGTCTGACAGCCGTCTTCGTCCGCTGAGGTCTTGTCCGCATGCATTTGTGTCTCTCTCCGTGCCCGCCTCTTTCTGTCCGTGTCCGTCCGGTTCTGTTGTTCACATGTATGCACCAATGTGTCGTTTGAGCTTGTGCCTTGTGTGTGTGTGTTCGTGTGTATGGTACTTGTGTTTACGTGGGCGTCGATGTGATTGAATTAGTGTTGTTTTGCTTGCCTTCAATGTTCTCGCTCTCTCTCTCTCTCGCTCTCTCTCTCTCTCTCTCTCTCTCTCTCTCTCTCTTCCTTATTCAATATTCACTTTGCTATGCTCTTACAATCCGAGGGGGTGGGACCCCCCCCCTGGGCCGGACCTTCCGGAATCCCTGGCTTCTGGGGCTCCTGGACACCCCTGCCGAGGGTCCCATGAGACCTCTGGGTTTCTGGGAGTCCCTGCCATATCGTGCAAACGAGCCGGCGGTAGTCCCAAGAGGGTCCAACATGGCCTCCTGATGGCCCAAGAGACCTTCCAAACGCCCCAAAGAGCTCCAAGAGGAACACCCAAGTAGGCCTCCAAATCCAACACCTGTGCGTTTCCCATAGGTTTTTGCATTTTTGGGGCAATATCGTTTTTTCGTGCTACCGACGCCCCAGGAAGGGCCGAAAGGCCCCAACATCGCCCCAGGACAACCCATGACGGCCCGAGAAGGCTCCAAGACGGGCGAAGATGCCCCCACGATCCCCGTCGAAGGCCCCAAGACGGACCTTCAGACTGCACCAGGCGCGAGCCCTCTGGCCTTTAAAGGACCCACGACATTGCCAACAGGCGCCCAAGCGCCCCAACCAGGGTTCACGAGGTCCCCAAGAAAACCGAAAATAAACCAATGGGGGCTCCAAGCTATCTCCCAAACCAGCAACATTGTTTCCGCGACAACCCCGAGACGCCTCCCCATAGACCCAAACACATCGAAGAGGCCTTTGACGCACGACCCCGCATTGGCGCCCTCGTCCAGCATTTCCACCAAATATGTCCGAATCCCAGTTTCGCGACGTTCCCTCCTGGCACGTAGATAGGAGGAGGTGGAGGAGGAGGGATGGGGATGGGGATGGGGATGGGGATGGGGATGGGGATGGGGATGGGGATGGGGATGGGGAAGAAGAAGAAGATGATGATGGGGATGATGACGACGATGATGATGATGAGGTTGATGAGGTTGATGATGATGCTGATGAGATGAGGATGCTGATGCTAATGATGATGCTGATGATGATGACGATGGTGATGATGATGATGATGATGATGATGATGATGATGATGATGATGATGATGATGATGATGATGCTGATGCTGATGATGATGATGATGATGATGATGATGATGATGATGATGATGATGATGATGATGATGATGATGATGATGATGATGATGATGATGATGATGATGATGATGATGATGATGATGATGATGATGATGATGATGATGTGGTGGTGGTGGTGGTGGTGGTGGTGGTGGTGATGGTGATGATTCTGCTGATGATGATGAGGAGGATGAGGAGGAGGACGTGGTGGGGCTTGCGTCGTGGATAAGGTGAGGCCTCGGGGAGCATGAGGAGGATGAGGAGCATGAGGAGGAGGAGGAGGAGGAGGAGGAGGAGGAGGAGGAGGGAGGGAGGAGGAGGAGGATGAGGTGGAGGGGGAGGAGGAGGAGGATGAGGAGGAGGAGGAGGATGAGGAGGAGGGGGAGGAGGGAGGAGGGAAGAGGAGGAGGAGGGTGTAGGAGGATCGGGTAATGCCAAGGGGGATCACCACTAGGGGCGGTCACCACTTCCTTCGTGGACCTCAGAACGAAGACGGGGAAGGGGACACATTAGGGAATGATAGCGAATGGCATTATTGAGAGGACGAATCGGACAAGACAACGAGGAGTTATCACCATTTTGTATGCCTTACATTCCTGCCCTTCCGCCGCGACTTCCACCTGCATGCCAAACTTCAAGGACCAAGGTGCGTGGCGCGAAGCGCCAACGCAGTCTGGTATATGCATGTCTGCATATGTATATATATATGTATATACATACACATTGTTCCTGTTCCTCTCTCTCTCTCTCTCTCCCCACGTTAGAGGTTGGGGATGATACCGCGACAAAACGGAGTCGCCCAACCAAGAAGTCGGCTTTGGGTTCGGGTTGTGTGTTTTTTTCCACGGACGAGGAGAAACTGCGCGAGATCGATGACGAGTCGGCCAAGTCCAGGGCCAAGCCGGACAGGCAAATGTTGTTGTGCCGTCTCGCCGTGGCCCGAGAATCTTGGAGTTGTTCAGTGGTTGTTTGTTCCATCGTTGTCCTGCGCTGTCCTGGGGTTGTCCCGTGGTTGTTCCGTGGGTTGTCCCGTGATTCTTCCACGGTTGCCCCGTGGGTTGTTTTGTGGGTCCTCCTATGTTTTTTTTGTGAGTTGGTTCGAGGTTGTCCAGTGGTTGTCCCGTGGATTTTCCCGTCTTTTTTCCAGTGGTTGTTTTGTGGCTGTTCCGTTGGAAATGCAAATGGACATCCAAATCCGTTTGCGCGCGAAGTGCACATTGAAATGCAATTCGAATTTCAATCAGCGGTTTCTGAGGGCTCTCCGCCTCGTCGCTGCGCGCGAGGCCGTTACCGCAAACTATTGTTTGAGATTGTGTGTGTGTGTGTGTGCGTGCGTGCGTGCGTGCGTGCGTGCGTCTGTTTGGCTGCAACTCTGTTCTTTTTTCGCCTTCTGGACTCGCGCGCACCATTGCTGTCGGGAGGTGCTCATGCGGCCGATGTTCGGCTCGTATGGCAAAGCAGTGGCGGGGAGTGGGCCGAGGAGGAAGCAGTTGCGATGAGGGGAATTGAAAGTGGAGTCGACGGCGGAGCAGAAGTTGGCGAAACCATGTCTGCTCACCGAGCTAGGGCCTGAGCTGGATGAGAGAAAAGGGCAATGGCCGGGCCGGGTTTTCCCAGAGGTGTCTTCGGCCCACGGTGTCCCAGGGATCCAACGAGACCCCCACAGCTGTCAGAGCACCCCTCACGGGGCCGAGATGGCCCCAGGGGCCTCAGAATGCTGTGAGAAGCTGCGGGCACAGTTGCCCAGGAGTGTTGCCAGCAAGCCCTGAAAGGACGAGGCGGCGGAGGAAGAGGAGGAGGCGGCGGAGGATGGCGAAGATGAGGCAAGGCAGAGTAAGCGAAGTATGGTGATGGAGTGTAGGGCACCTCGGGGCGCAGCGAATCGTGGCGAGGCAGGTCTGCCATAGAAGGAAGGCGACACCTCGGACGTGTTCTACGACCTCCGTGAGACAAACTCGGCGGCGGTCGTGGACAGTCGACTCCCGTTTCCAATGCAGGACCTACGTAAGTCGCACATTTCGAACTACGCGTCGCTGATGCGGCGGAGGCCCCGGCGCGGGCGTGCAAGGTTGAACTCCCTTGCGCGCGGGGCTCGGTCAGTATTGAACGATCTGCGTTTTCGGAAACAGTTTCGATCGCTCAGGGTTGAACGATCCACGTGGTGTCAGGAACCGACGCCGACGTCGACATGTCAGAAACCAGCTGCATCGTACTCTTCAAATCGGCTTGCCCACAAGATGGACCTGTTCCCTGGAGCACCCCCCACACGCGCACAATGAGTTGCGAACGTCAATTCACCCGCGGCCCTCCTGGTTTAGCAGGAGATGGACGGGGCAGGGACCCTCCTGCGTCACCTTCGTCTCGAAGGCCGCCGCGGACGCTAACGTGCGCCAGCGCTACGGGCTCGAGAAGATGGTCGAGGCCGGCGGAATTGGTCAGCAGCGTCTCTTGTTTACACGAAAAAGTGCACATGGATCTGATTCCCAAACATCCTGGCTTGGGTTATCGTTTTGAATCGAACACTGTGTGCTCCGTCCGTCCTCCTCCTCCCCCTCCTGCCACGTGCCTCCTACTTCGTGGGTGCGTCCTGGGAGGTCCCGCGGAGTGGGGGGACACGGGGAACCAGTTGAGACCTCGCGGCTCCCTTGGAGACTGCGACGAAGTGCGCAACGGTCGCCACTTGATGGGCTCCTGGGGGGTCCCGCGGAGTGGGGGGACACGGGGATCCAGTTGAGTCCTCGCGGCTCCCTGGGGGGCTGCCAAGTGCACAAGTGTCGCATTTTTCGTGAGCTCCTGAGAGGTCCCGCGGAGTGCGGGGACACGGGGATACAGTTGAGTCCTCGCGGCTCCTTGGGGGGCTGCGAAGTGCGCCCTTGTCGCCACTTTCGTGGGCTCTTGGGAGGGCCCGCGGAGTTAGGGGACACGGGGATCCAGTTGAGACCTTGAGGGCCACTTGTGTCTTCCATTCATTGTTTGAGGGGCCCCACCTCTCGATTGAAAAGCGATTTACCCAAATCACTCCCTGTAAATAGAAACGCAATGCTCTTGCACAAAAGAAAGACATACCAGTACCTCATACTCATCTGCAATATTCAACCCGCCGAAAAGTCGCACGACTCAAACCAGCACCACATCTTGGAAACACAGGTAGGGCGCGACCTTTCGAGTACCCCCCCTAGCCCATCCCACAGCAATGCCCGCCCCGTTGTCTGCTGTCGTTTTTTTCACGATGTGGTCCATGGGCGGGCAACACGGGCGCAAGGGCATCTGAGCCGGCTCCCACCTGGCCTGATGACCGCCCAGGTTGTGTCCATGGTATGGCATGATGCTTTGTTAGCAATGTCTCAACCGTCCTGTGGTGTCGGGTCCTCGTTTGAAAAGACAATGCCCCGCGTCTCCTCTCTTCTTCTCCTAATCCTCCTCCTCCTCTTCCCCTCACCAGCTCTCGGTTTCTTCCCCTGGCGTATTGTGGGCAAACTACCGCACGCTGGCCGGAACCTGGCCTACGTCCTTCCGGATGCACGTCGGCATCCGCCATTTGCCCTGCCGGTTCGGTTGCGAGGGCTGCAACGACGAGATTGCTCACTACCTGACCTGTCGCGGGGCCTGGTGGGCGGTCTGCCAGGCGACGTGGTCATTCGCGCACTCGTCTGTGCTACACAGATTGGGCCTCGGCGAAGAACAAGCATACCAAGACGCCGAGGATGTGGAGAACAACCTGCCGCAGACTGTAGCACGGTTGGCGCGCCTATACCACATCCACAACATTCTACGCCACCGTCCGGGTGCACACGCCCAACCACCTGACGCGGCAGTCGCGGCTGCGAGGGTCGCGGCGCAGCGGGTCAAGGTTCCACCGTCGACAACTACTTCTACAGCCACTCTGAGCGGCCCGGCGCGCCGCCGCTGAGCCCGTGCACCCTCTGGTGGTACGGGCGCTCCTCCTCCTCTTCCCCATCCTCCCTCCTTTCATCCGTGCCTCTCCCTCCGCGCATGCGTACCTATGCCCTCCGCATGCCGTCATCACCATTATCATCATCATCATCATCATCATCATCATCATCATCATCATCATCATCATCATCGTCATCATCGTCGTCATCAGCATCGCCATCGCTTTCATCCACATCATTGTCATCATGACGATGCGCCATCATCATCATATGTAACACCAGCAGCACTATCACATTCAACATCAACATCAGCAACATCATCACCATCATCATCATCATCGTCGTCGTCCGCATCATCCTAATCATATTCATCTTCCTAAGCCTCATCATCATCATCATCATCATCGACATCAGCATCAACACCATCGTCAGTATCATCATCATCAGCATCATCATCAGCACCACCATCATGTGCGTGCATGTGCGCATGCGTGTGTACTTGTGCGAAGTCTATGAGAGTCTGCACGCCTACGTGCGAGTGTATATGTTGGCGTTGGTGCGTTGTTATGCCTTTCATTGCATACTGGACGTGCACGGGCATATGTCGCAACGCTTACGAAAATTAATGTATGTGCTTCTTGTGGCTCATACGCGCAGACACGTTGTCTGCATACGCGTATACTTCAAGGGAACACGTCCAACTATGTTCAGCTGCAGCTTCAGATTGGACAACTGCTCCGCTTCACGTTCTGTAAGCTGCCTCGTGAGACTATGTGCACCTCTCGATTCATCGGAACACTGGTTGCCCGTCATGGCCGATTCTGCCGGCTGTGTTTTGGCGCTGGACGGCTGGAGGCAGCTACCGTCGCCAAGCGCGGCTCTCCAGCCTGACAGTCACGACGTTTTCGAACGCACGACCACCCATTCGAGGGCCGTCATGGACGTAGGCATGGGTTGCGTGAGTGGCTGGTTGGTTTGGTGATGATGTGGAGGAGGAGGAGGAAGAGGAGGTCGGTCGGTTGAAGAGCGAGAGAACAGGACACGAGAATCCGAGTTATTCATCCACAATCTTCAGGTGGAGGAGGAGGGGCAGTAGGAGGCAGAGGGGCAGGAGGAGGAGGAGGAGGAGGAGGAACAGGAGGAGGAGGAGGAGGAGGATGAGGAGGAGTTAGATGCAGGAGGATCAGGAGTGGCGGCAGGAGCCCACTGCCTGCCCCTGCAGGCTGTCGTCGGCACAAGGAATATCGGAAAGAAGGACATGGTGCTCAACGACGCCACCCCAGACCTCAAGGTGGACCCGGAGACCTTCGAGGTCGCGCTCCGCTGCCGCTGCGCCCGCTGCTCCCGCTGGCAAGGCTCGGGGCTGCGCCCAGACTGAGACCTCCAGCGCACTGACAACGAGCGGCAGAAGCAGGATATCCTGGATCGATCCTCGAACCTCGATCTCCGATCCTCGATCCTGGAGCCCAGGTCCCCGCCTGGACAAGCATCAAGACATCGCGCCTCTGGGAAGGCTCGGGGCTGCCCACAGAGAGCCTCCGCAGGCGGCCCCCCGCAGGCTGGCCTTGCAAGAGGTGCGCCTCCCCGGCAGCCCGCGCGGTGGCCTCGGCACCTCATGGCCCATGGCAGGGGCACGGAGCGAGTCCCCAGAGCGCCCCGGGCGCGCGGGCTTCGGACGTACACCGGCAGCCTGGCGACGGGTCAAGTCAAGTACGCCTTGCACCAGGCGGTGCGTGAGCAGGGGAGAAGCGTATAGTAAAGGCTCCCCGAATGCAGCCAGAATACCTTCAGCTTCCGGCCCAAGCCTTCACCGCAGCAAGACGGGGTCGGTGCAGACGGGGGGGCAGCCAGAGCGCCAGATCTCGCAGCATCTTGCAGGGACAGGTGTGCACTGACCAGGGCTTGCGTGCAGGCTGCAAGGCCCGACTGACCCGGGTGTGCGCTGACCCGAGTCAGCAGATCCTCGAGTACCACCGCCCACCAAACCACCCCAACCCAACCCGAAGGCCCCGATTTGCCCTCCATTTCCAGTGGGGGGGGGAGGGCGGGGGACATTGAAAAGAACAAATATGAAGCCCGTGCCCCACCCAACCCGAAATTCGGGCGAAATTCGGGTCTTAGGGTTGGGTTGGAGTGGCCTGGTAGGCAGTCAGAGTATTCAGCAGGTAGTTTGGTCGGAAAAAGGGGGCAAGGAATTCGCTGGTGGATTTCGGTGTGTAGACGCTCCAGCCAGCGCCCCTGAGTTCTGGACACTGGCCCGGGGACTGGCCTGCGTCGTCCAGGTGATGAGCTCACACCGCGGTGGTGCCGGGCAGCGGCCTCGCTGGTGTGAACGGCGACGGCAGCGGCGACAGTGATTGAGCCCTCTCTCCCAGACCCCCGAGGCCATGATTTTTTGAGAACGTCAACCCCCGAGGTCTCGACCCATTCCCAAGGATCGGTTTCTCCTCCCGAGTCGTTTTTTGACGGTTCCGAGGGCCCCCAGATGGCGAAATTGGCGAATAACCTTCCGTCATGATTTTTCATTGCCAGAGGGGGTCTGGGCTTGTAGGAATTTCAGCAGAGTCCAGCAGAACCCAGCGCCGAATCCGAGTCCGGTCCGATCCAGTTCTCCCGAGTCGTTTTGTTGACGGTCCCAGGGCCCAGAGGCCGAACGAACGGAACAACACAGATCGCGCCGCGATGGTGGTCACCACGCGAGGTGGTTTGGGATCCGCCCTCCTCCCGTGGATGGACAAAAAAGTACACCGCGCCCCCTCCCGTCTTCCCCCAATTCCAACGTTGGCCCCAAGCATTCGGCAACGCAGGCGCGAGAAGACAGACAAGTGGACTCCCCAGGGCCTCGGGGCGGCCGAAGCCAACTTTGAGATGGGGGGAGGGGGGGGGCGGCGAACGAGGGGTCGAAGTCGAAGGGGTGCCATTTTTTTGTCCAGTGCAGTGGAGCGTGCCAGAGGCACCTGGCAGGGTGGCCTGACTCCGTTCGCAGAAGTATCGCCGAGCTCCCAGAGTTCGAGCAGGGGATCGACTACAGAATCGCTTTACACCCAAATTGATTCCCCCGTCGAGTCTAAGACAACATGCGTATAATGTTCCGTATGCCCACGAACATCCCACGCGCTTCTTTTATCTTCGGCGGGAAAGTTTAATTTTGAGTAAATCAATGATGTAGTTGATCCCCGATTATAAAATTTTATGTTTATGTTGGTTTTTGGCTTCAAGACCATCCCCCTCCTCTCACTTCATGTGGGCTGTTTGTCGTCCTGGAACACTTGTCCGCCGACCCTGGAACCGCAGGACGGCCCCCAGGGGGCCAACATCTAAGAACACCGCCGGTTGAAAAACCACACCACCTTCGGAGATTCGGGTCCTCCATCGTCGCCACCTCCCGCATTCCCTTCTCCCTCACGCCTTCCGACCATACTCGCGGGCCCCCAAACGGTGATGTGACCACGCCGTGTGTTGAGTGGGAATCGGGGTGACCGCGCGGTTTTGGGACCTGGGTCGTTCTCCGAGGCTGTGGGCGACTGGGGCCTCCAGGGGCCCAGAACGGGGAGGGGCGACGGATCGAGCGGCGAGGTCTCTCGGGGCTCCGAGGCCACCGCACGGCCTGTATCTGCACCGTTCTGGACCCCCCCCCTCCCTCCTTCGCCCCCCCCCTCCTTCGCCCCCCCCCCCTTTCTCATCACTTGTTGGCGCCGCTCTCGCTCCCTCCCCCCCCCGCGCCCTGCCCTCGTCCCCCCCCCCGGCCTGCCCCGTGCAGGTCACGGCGGACGGCGAGCACCTGACCTGCGAGCCGGCCAAGACGCTGCCCCTGGCCCGCAAGTACTTCCTCTTCTAGAGCTGCCCCGGCCGCGCGTCGGCGGGCGCCTGTGCATAGATAGGATACGGATGGGGCGCGCATCGAGCAACCATCTGCTTTTCGTCAGGGTGTCCTGGGCTTCTTCGCTCCGCGCGCTGCGCAGTGACTCCCCGCAGCCGTTGAAGAAGCTGCTGCGTTCAAGGTGCTCTGGGGTTCCTCTCAGGTGCACCTCGCGCGCGGGTTTTTAGCGTTGGGTTTCTTGCGAGGGTTTCTTGCGGCCGCGCCCGCACTCTACCGTACATGGACATCAGATTCGAACCTTGTGGCCCAAGATGCCCCCCCCAGACCCCCCGAATTTATTATTGATGGCGTGGCGACGGGGGGGGGCGTGAGTGGACAGAAATATTCGAGCCCCAGAGCACCGCCTTTACTGAGATCAACATTGATGTCGGGGGCGCGGGGGTGATTCAGAAGATCCCTCGAATGTGTAAGGGTTCGAATATATAGTCCATCTACTGTAGGTTTGCTCAGTGGTCACGAGTCCAGCGGGACCGGACCCACCGGCCACCCTTGGTGACTCAGGAGGGCCCCTGCCTTCAGATTGGTGGGGATGGCCCGGTTTCTTTGTTTCATACGGTTCAGTACAGTAAGTGCTCGGGGCAATCGTCGAGACCCACGGGGGGAGAGAGGGGGCCCCCGGGAGTGTCTGGCTCCGATTGTTTCATAGTTATTCACGTCCGTGGCATGCACTCAGCCGTGGCATTAGGTCGGGCATGTCCCCCATACAGGGGAATTTTGGACGGAAAGTACGAAACAGTCAAGAAACGCCCCAAGATGATCAAAAATAGTAGGACAACATCGTCCCCAGACTATTTTTTGACTAATTACTTTGCAATACTCCTCCTGTAGAGGGCCCGTGGCACGAGGCCCCCCGCCACGTCCCCGGGGCGCCGTTGGAGGCGCGACCTGGGGCGGCGCGGCGATTTCGTTGCCCCGCCCCGCGGCGCCGGCCGGGCCGCCGCGGGTCGGCCCGGGTCGGGGAGCGCCTGGAGTTAAGCCGGGCCTGTCCCTCCACAGGGGGAAGTTTCAAAAATAGTCCAGAAGACGTACGGTAAGTTCGCGTCGTGTCGACCGGCGGCGACCCCGCCGCCGACGTTCAAGGTTGAACGCCGACGGCGGCCCAGAATCGGTCGATGTTGAACGATCGGACGTTGCGGCAGCGGCCGATCGTTCAAGGTTGAACGATCCAGCGCGGTGTCAGGAACCAACGCCAGGGTCGACACGGCACGAACCTGCAGTAGGTGGACGATTTTATATAAGTGTTTTTGCATTTTTTAGGGCATTTTTTGGGGGCCATCTTTTCAATTTTTCGCCCCAAATCCGCCTGTAGGGGACATGCCCGACCTAAGCCTGGATGGAAGGCGCACAGTTCAAGCAGTGGCAAAGCATCCTGGTTCGCCTATAGGCCCACCAAAGACATGTTCTAAGAACCTTTTGTGGTCTACACGAAATGTTCTTAGAACATTTCTGGCTGAGTCTGTCTTCTTTCAACACATTGTGTTTATGTTCTAAGAACATTGTTCTTGTTCTTAGAACATTTTGAGGTTCTAAGAACATGTCGTGGTAGGCTTATATGAATGCCGGGACGGTCGGTCCCTGCTCAAAAAATAACCAGGCTGTCGTGGGATCTTGTCGATGCCAACCTTGGTCATGGTCCAAGCCAGCCGTCGCCGAATCGCGATGATGATCCATGAGTTGACGATGACCAAGATGGACGGTGGCCAAGATCGGCACCGACGTTTTCGCGGGCCCAGACTTCCGGAAGGCCCCTCTGCCCAGGGGCAACAAGCGGCCCAGACCTCCGACGATACGTTTTTTCCACAGCCCGGGCGTTGTTCAGTGGTGTCAGCCTCAGGGGACGCGTCATCGGGCCTTGGGGTCACCAAGGATGGGGCCAGGGCTGGCCCAGGGGGTGTCGTCAGGGGCCCATCGTTGCCGATCGATCGGCGATGTATCGTCCATTCCAGGTCATTTCTTCTCGCCCCCTCTGCCATACTCTTTCCTGGGGACCAGTGTCCCGGCCCTCCGAGCCAGTCCCCCCTTCCCATTGACCCTCGTCGATGTGATTTTTTTCACCACGTCGACCCCCAGATGTCTGGACACCTTCCTGGGGACCGGTGTCCCGGCCCCTTGAGCCAGTCCACCCTTCCCATACCCCCGACGTCGCGACTTTTTCACAACGTGAAAGCCCAGATGTCTGGACTCCTTCCTGGGGACCGGTTGTCCTGGCCCCCTGAGCCAGTCCCCCCTTCCAGACCCCCGTCGATGTGTTTTTTCTACAGTGTGGGCGCTCAGAGGCCTGGACTCCTTCCCAGGGATCGGCTTCCCCTCCCTGGGCCAGTACCCCCCCCTAAGGCAGACCCCAAGTGTCGTCTCTCGGTTCGTAACGCCGCCCTGCCCGTCTCTTTCTACTCTTCTGCATGCTGAGGAATTCGCTTCTCGGTGTCCCCATTTAGATTGATCGCTGGTGCAGCCATTCTGCCTCGTCGCCGACGAAAAATGTTTTGGCTCGCGCAGTGTATCCCCAGATGTCTGGACTCCTTTCCAGGGCCCGGCGTTTCATCCCGAGTCGTTTTTGTTGACGGTCCCAGGGCACAGTAAGGTCCATGAGGGGCCGAAAGTCTGCCGAAGCTCTCCGTCGTGAGCAGGAACACGCCAGACGGCTCTTTGGGGCGTGTGTGGCCGTCTGTCGAGAAACGGCGCGGGCGAGCAGGCATTGGAAACAACCAGGACATGGATGTCTGGGCAATTATGCCAGGGTCGCGCCGCACCAGCGTGTCGAGGCCCGCTGCTTGAGAGCTGCCGGTGGCCTGATATCGAGCGACCTGCGTCGTGGGAGAGTCGCGATCGTTCGGTGTTGGACGGCCCACACGCGGTGTCATGGACCCAGCGTCGACGTCATCGCGACGTGTTCCCACCTTTAGGGATGGGGTCCAGAGTTTCGCTCGTGCTTCTTTCGCGGCGTTGTGTTTTTCCCACGGCAGCGGTGGTCGTAGTGCGGACAGCTCAGGCTTGGGGCGTAGCTATTGCAGCTGCCCTCACGCGGGCCTGCGGTGACCCGGCGTTGGCATGCGTTGAGAAAGTGTTGAGCCAACGCCAGGTCAGTTTGGAGGTCCCGGGGAGGATCGCATAACATCGTCACACTTTGTTCTGTGTGGGTGGCGTGTGGGCCGCGTCCTGCGTAGAGAGCTTATTCTAATACTCCAATCCCGCAGCGGTCGAGAACAGTTTGCCACTGCTTACGTGTTCAATCCACAGGACCTTCTGGGACCTCAGAACTTGTAGCTCGCCAGAGCAACACAGCCGCGCAACACAACACCGTGCAACACCTCACAACTCCGCACAACACCGCACGACACCGTGCCACACCACGCATCATTGTTCAACTCAGCGCAGTATGTTGCGCGGTGTAAATTTTGCATTCGTTTCCAAGAGGCTCCTCTGATTGAACATGTAAAGAATGTTGCGGTGTATTTCGTGGGCGGCGGTGTAAGAGCACTGCCGCGCTGGCTGACTAGTATAAGTTATTTAATCGCTTCGCTCATTCCGCCGCCCCATCTTGCCTCACCGCTGTCGTTTGTCGGGGTGTTGTTGTCAATGCGGTGCGGTTGGGCGGCTGCCATTTTTCGGAGGCGGTGGGAGGCGGGTCAGAGGTCTCACGGATGTTGGTTGGGCTCTCGAGGTTGGCCTCTCAGGGGCCTTATGGGAGGCAGTTTTGAGGCCTCTTGCGGGCCGTGTTGGGGCCTCTTGGGGCCTCTTGGGGGCCTCTTGGGGCTTCTTGGGGTTGGGGTGCCTCTTGGGGGCCTCCTGGGGCCTCGTGTGGGCCTCCTGGAATGAAGGCTGGACTTTTCGGTTCCTGGTCACCTTCTTGGGCCAGTCTTGGGGCTCTCTTGGGCCGTCTTGGGCGCCTCTTGGGCTGTCTTGGGGCCATCTTGTGCCGTCTTGGGGCTGTCTTGGGATCCTCTTGGACCCTCTTGGGGCGATTTTGGGAGCATCTTAGGCCATCTTGGAGCGTCGGGAAGCCGAAAAAGGAGAAACCCTAAAATGTTTCCCAAACCAAGGGGAAGTCAATGAATTTTGCCTCTTGGGGCCCTCTTGGGAGTGCTTTTAGAGGTCTTGAGGGAGTCTGGAGGTCATGGTGGGAGTCTTGGAGCGATCTTGTGGCATCGTCGGCCGATCTTTCGAGGACTCCAAGGGCTCTTGGACCGTCTGGGCGCTCTCTTGAGGCCGTCTTGGGCGCCTCTTGGGCCGTCTGGGGGGGGGGCCTCCGGCATCTCTGACGGGCATTTGCCGGGGCTTTGGCGGGGTACTTGTCGCGTCGGGGCCCCCAGGGGCCGTCTCGCGCGCGCGAGTTCGTTACATTGTTAACTTGTGACCGGAGATCTTAGCACGCCTCTGACCCGTTGGGCCGGCGAATGCTGCCGCGCTGGCTGACTAGTATAAGTTATAGCCTCCCGAGAGGTCGGGCACAGACCGGCGCGATCTCTCTCATGGTTTGGCGGTCGTGCTAGTTCCAGCAGCTCGGCGTGACTCTGCGAGCAAATTCACGACCATCTGAATATTTCTTTGTCGTGACGTTCGCCTGGTGCCTTCTAGCTCATTGGATTGCTCAGATCTGACAGTCTTGGATGTTTGCGTTTTCTCAAGTTGTATGGCCTGAGTTATGCCTACAATGTAGCAGCGTCCCACGCATGCATATTTGATCACATACATATGGTTGCCTGCACGGTCAAGCATAGCGAGGCTTGCAGCACGTCCAACATTGATTGAGCTGGGCCATCACTTTGAGGTCAAGGGGGGCATTGTCCTCGGGCGTATCAGTCCGAGGGACGCGCCGAAGCTAGGCAGCGCAGCTAATTTGATGTCCTAGATAGGGTTGCAATATTCGGAATCGTCATATCTATACTTCATGGATGCAGGCACAATCGAATAATTACGATGCCACTGTTCCAGCGTGCGAACTGACTCACAGCGGTTAGTTTGGAGAGCAACGCCATACCGCACACAGGTGCGGATCTATCATTTGAGGGAGTTTGTCTCGAGAACTCACGACATCCGGATCCCCGGCGCGCGGCGCGCGAGGGAATGGGCCCGCCAACCTTCCGTTTCGGGGACATCCGGGGAATCTTGCGAAGAATTCCGAACCGGCGCCTTCGCGTGGGACATCCTGAGAAAACCGCCCCCCCGAGCCTCCTAGGAGACCCTCAGGTGCCCCCTTGTTCCGTCTCGGGCTCGGGGAAATCTCGGAAATCAGGCAACGAATTCCAAACTGGCGCCCACGCGTGAGAACTCCTCAGAAGATTTGCCTCCCGACCCTCCCCAAGGAGGCCCTCAGAGGCACTCGTGTTTCATTTCGGGGAAATTCGGGAAATCTGGCGAAGGCCCTCAGAGATCCCCTGCTTGTTCGGTTTCCAGGAAATTTGGGAAATTGGGCGACGAATTCCAAAACGGCGCTTTCGCGTGGGACATCCTCAAAAAACGGCTCCCCGAGCCTCCCCCAAGGAGG